TACTCAGCACAGTGCCAGCATGGAACAGACACTCAGAAAGTATTTGTTAATGATTGAATGAAGAAAGGGGAACTGTGGCCATCAGTTGGGGATGAGGGAGGATGATTGGCTCTCTTTGCTTTGAGATAGTAGAAAGTTGAGGGCATCAAATCAACAAAAATCAATGAATTAGTTAAGACTACGTAACTCACTAACTTACCACACTAAATTTCATGCTTACTTGTGGGGAGTTTATCCACCAACCCCACAGTTCCCCAGAGTTTTCTTGAGTGAGAGCAGCAGGAAATATTAGATAGAAGGATTTATATTGTGGAGATAAACAGATAGAAAATAAAGGATAGCCTCGAGAGGGCCTGGAACCTTTTCCAACGGGCCGACTGTCTCTGCCCCAGGGTATTTATAGAGACGCCAAGGGGTGGAACAAAAGACCTCCTTCCCAGCACAGCCAAGTGCAGACCATTTCAGACACCTGCACTCAGACAAGTGGCCCTAATCATCCTCTCTATGAGGACCTGCTGGGTAAAGCCACGAGGAACCTGAAAACGGGCTCCCACATTACTGTCCTAGATTTGTGCATTGGCATGTTTAGAGTGAGTCCCTACCATAGGAAAACAGGGAAATCCTGTAACTTCTTCAGTCTGGAGCACTGAGGTCTCCTTAAAAACCTAAAGCAGGTGTGTGCCTTTATTCAGCGGCAGCAAGGATAGACACTTTGGGCTCATACTGTGGAGGAGCCTGAGAGTCTAAAGAAGCAGTGGGTCGCTTGCCGCTTGCCGAGCACAGCTTCTGCTGTGTTCAGTTGCTTCCTTTGCCTTTTGTTCCATGTTGGTGGCTGTTGTTCTCTAGGCTTCACCTCTGGCTGTCCTTGCCTTAGCTCTGGCTGCCTCTTGTACTTGTTTGTTTTAACTCTTTGGCTTTTTGGGGGGCCTGCCACCCAGCTCCCAAATAAATCACACATGGAGGCTTATCCTTAGTTACAAATGTCCAGCTTTAGCTTGGCTTGTTTCTTGCCAGCTTTTCTTAAATTATCCAATCTACCTTTTGCCTCTGAGCTTTTTCCTTTTCTTACCTTCCGTATATTTTACTTTCACTCTTACTCTGTGGCTGGCTTGTGTGGCTGGTGGCTGGCCCCTACAGCATCCTTCTCTCCTTGTTCTTGCTCCTTCTTGATTTTTTTCCTCCTAGATTTCTCCTTCTGTTTATTCTCCCTGCCTGCTAGCCCTGCCTGTCCTTTTTCCTGCCTCCCTGTTGGGTATTCAGCTCTTTATTAGCCCACCAGGTGTTTCAGACAGACAAAGTAACACAGCTGCACAGAGTTAAACAAATGCAACATAAACAAAAGTAACACACCTTGGGGTTGGGGCTTTAGATCAGTGGTAGAATGCTTGCCTAGCAAGTGCAAGGCCCTGGGTTCGGTCCTCAGCTCCGAGGTTAAAAAAAAAGAAAGTAACACACCTTAAAGTAATATTCTACAATAGCCACTTTCATCTCCTCTGTCCTGAACACATGGGCCCTTTTTTTGCCTAATTGCTCTCTGAGTTCACCAGGGTTCTTCCTAGTCATGATTTGGTCCCTACTATTGCCTTTTGCATTTTGTCACACCTGAAACCTAGCACATTTTCTCTGAAGTGGCACCTCTATTCCCATCCCATCACTGCTTGATTTTGATTCTGAGCATTGGGAATTGTTTGCATTTAATTTTGATGTTCCTTACCACAGAGATGCATTGTTGGGGTAAATGTGATGTGTAGTCTGGACTGCAGTAGGGACTCAGAAATATATCAGTGCACTAGTACTGAGTAGATATTTATTGTAGTTTCTTTTAGATTAAGACCAAAATGAGAAACAGTTGTGATTGTTTCATGTAAGAACCAAGGCCAGCCAGTTCGGAGTAAGAAAATGTATCTGGTACTGTCATAGTAAATGTAGAAAAGAGCCCAGCTTATGAATGCAGTAGGGGAGAGAATTAAAGAAAAATTCCTTTGTTCCAAAGATTTATTTCTAAATTGCTTGTTTCTAAAATTACATTTTCTAATAAAAAGGATTTTTGTGTAGTCAGTCAGTATCCATGGTTTCTGCACCTCTAGACTTTACAAAGTTCAGGTTGAAAATATTTGGAAGGCAAACTTGTTTCTGCATTTAACATGTAGAGGATTCTCTTTCCCGTGTTCCCTAAATAATAAGATTTAACATCAGTTTACATAGTGCTTAACCCATACTTGGTGGGTTTAAAGTACATGAGAAGATGTGTGCAGGGCATATATACATTCTGTGCCGTTTTTGTAAAGAACTTGAGCATTTTTGGATTTTGTTACTACAGATGTGTGGGTGCAAGTGGGATCAGCCCCAAGGAGTATCTATCATAAATTCAAGACATTACCACACACATGGAAAAATGTGTCCTGAGAGATGACTCTGCTAGTTCAAGTCTGTCCCTCTTAAGAAGGACAGGGTGATGGTGGTGGAGAGGTGGCTCAGTCGTTAACAGCTGCTCTTGGGGAGGATCTGGGTCCACTTTCCAGCACCCACAGGACAACTCACAACTTTTTGTAACTCTTCTTCCAAGGGATTTGGAATCTTCTTCTGGCCTCTGGGCACAAAGCACACATCAGGTACATGTGTATACATGCAGGCAAACATACACACCCAATATATTCTTTTAAAGATGTTACGTTAGTTATCTTAACAAAGAATCAGATACTTGTTCACCTATATAAATGCAAACAATATTTCAAGTCTCCAGCATTGGGAATGAGAGAGCCACCATCTGTATCTACTGTAGCCTCACAGGGATGCACAGTCAGCACAGTACGTGTTATGCTACACAATCAACATGGTATATAAACAGTTAGGAAAAATTGCCTAGAAACTTATTGCAAGAAAAAACAAGGGAAGTGGGGTGATGGAGCCTGCCTTCTACTTCTCAAGCCACTGCTTTTCTGAGAATGTGCTGAGCAGTTTGCAGCCACGGAGATGTTCCAGCAGTTAGGCTGATGGAAGGGGGAAGCCATGGCTGACAGGCTCTAGAGAGTTTTGCTGTGAACTTAGTTGAGTCTTATTTTCATTGAAGAAAACTACAGTGGACAGCAAAGAGAGCTTCTCCTAGAAAGATGAACCCACATTAAAAATCTCATCATCGTAATCCCAATACTTCAGGGACTGAGGCAGGAAGATCTTGAGATTGAGACCAGCCAGTTTGAGTGGAGGCCGCTTAGCAAGACCAAAACCAAAACAAGACATAAGACACACCCAGGTAACAGGTTGACCCCAAACAGGCTTAACCCCAGGCAGCTCTGCTGAAGCCCTTTATATTCACAGGCATTTCAGGAGTTTTAGTACATGTCTCCATTGAAGGGACATATTTCCTATGGAAGACCATGTCTGCCTTGGGCAATACCTCTTGCTGCTATTCCAGGAGTCTGGAAATTGTGCAGCAGAGCATCTTAGATGATTCCAGTGAGTCTTAATGGGAACCCACAGTAACTATTTGGGTTTCAAAGTTAGACCAGGGTTCAGAGTCATCTGTGAGCAACTTAGGCCACTTCCCTAAGCCTCAGTTTCCTTGGTGTGTGTGTGTGTGTGTGTGTGTGTGTGTGTGTGTACATAGGCACGTGTGTGAAGGGGCTACCTCTTGGGGAGGATAGGTGGGCCACAGCTAGAAAAGGAAGAAGGCTCTCATTGGTTATTCTAAGTGGCCAGACCGATACACTCATAATTCTGGCTAGTATTTATTGGTGTTATTGACACCATAGAAAAATCACGGTATAGGATACTGTCAGGCCAGTATTTTTCTTCCTTTGACAGAAAACTTATTCATAATACCCAGCTTATAGATTAAAACATTTTAAAATGGGAATACCATATGTGGAAGTGAAAAATGCCTTCTAAGTTTATTCATATTTTTAGCTAATTAGAGGTACAGGAGGCTGTTTTCTGGGGCAATTTGAAACTTCCATTTTTAGAAACTGTTGGATGATTTGTTGAAAAGGATGTCAGTCAGAGCAGAACAAAGTATTTGTGCTTCTGAAGCAAGCACACTAGTAGTTTGGCCTTGCTCCAGAGGCGACACGTCTGTAACTATCCTCTTGGCTTGCTGACTCCAAGCAGGCCAGAGAGTAGTCCATGATGACTGCAACTGATTTTTATTAAACAGCCACAGCCTGGTTTTGTTTTTGTTTTCCAAATTGAAACTCCAGGAGTTTTGAGTTTGTATGACCTTTTTTTGGGCAGAGGGGCTTGATAATCTTTTTAGTTTTCTATGCAGCAAGCTATTCTAAAAGCTTGTTCTCCTCATTGACACCAGTCCCCTTATTCCTTACATAAACATCGAATACTAATCTTATTTCTTAAGATTCTGATGAATTCCAGCCTAAATTTTGAGAATTAATTGTATAGCATTCTTTATTTCCTGTCAACTCTGAGATATCATGCCTTTGCTGTCTAGTGACCTAGTACATAGTGATCAGCTATTGCTTCTTGGAAAGCCCCACTTGAAGTGAGGGTTAACAGTAAACTGTCATCTCTGTGGAATGTCCAAGCTGCTCAGGTTGCTGGAGGGATTCAGGAGTGGGGCAGCACCTGATAGGTGAAATGGCCCTCGTGGAGTGTGCCAAAATTATTCTTTTAAGGTTGTGGTGTACTGCTGGTAGCCTTTGATTTAGAAACAGGCATAAGCTGTACTTTGCTGCCCGATTCTGTTAGAAGTTAAAAAGCAGTGTAGTGCTAAGGACTTACATATTTGAAACTGGATATAGGTGGCTGGAGCAAAACAGATCCTGGTTTGCAAGTTGCTGGTGTTTTATTAGGAGTCTCAGTAAGTGGCACAGCAACTCCAGAGCTGCTGAACAACCTGTCCCAGTCTGCTCTGCATGCTCCAGTTTCAGATAGTTTTCATTATTTGATTATTGGATGAGAAACTAAAAAGCAGTACAAAACAAAATAAAAACAACACTACTGGTTTTCTTCCTTTTCCTATGATCCTTCTACTGTTTGACTTACAGAACACTGAGTCTGTGGCTGCCACTGAAACTCTGGCTGGGGTACCTGAACACGTGCTTCGAGGACTTCCAGAGGAAGTGAGGCTTTTACCATCTGCAGTTGACAAGACCCGGATTGGTGAGTATGCTCATCACAGGAGGCAGGCAGCAAAGAGTAGGCTGCTTCCTTTGGGAGCAGGGATCATGTTAGGTAAGCATTATGCAAAAAAAGGAAAGGTTGGCCCTCACTTAAATTATGTGGTGTATATGTACTTTCCACGTAAGAATCCAGGATGGACATGGGTTATAAAAGAAGACTAGCAGGGTGGTGGCGGCGCATGCCTTTAATCCCAGCACTCGGGGGCAGAGGCAAGCAGATTTCTGTGAGTTCAAGGCCAGCCTGGTCTACAAAGTGAGTTCCAGGATAGGCTCCAAAACTACACAGAGAAACCCTGTCTCAAAAAAGTGGGGTGGGGGGGGGTGGGAGGAAACTACCGCCCCCCTCCACCGCCACCTCCAAACACACAGTGAACCTGCATATTCTGTCCTTGGTTGTGTGTCCCAGTGTGCCCTCCTCTGCATCCCTGTGAGCCTTGTTCCACAGAGTGGGTGGTTTCCTCTGATTTCGCTGTGCCTTGAGTGTGATTATGTTATCACTTTATATCTGTCCCTGTTACTGATAGTGAGTCTGCTTTACCCGTTGTTTTGCCATTTCCAGATACTTAGGGACCCTTAGGGGTATCTGAATGAACAATATAAGCTGGCTAGAATTCTTGTTGAATACACAAGCTTGTATGTATTTGAAATTTGTTTTTGTGATATAAGTTTTAGATAGAAGGCTAAGAGTAAGTTGTCAAAATCTTGTAAGAGCATACTCTTGAATAGATCATGCTTATACCCTCCCTTTTGCCTTCTAGATGCTCTTCTGATGCTCAGTGAGTGTGTGACTCTGACAAGCACTTTTTCTAATTCTCATTGGAAATTTGCTTAGTGAGCATTGGCGTTTTTATATTATCTTCTTTGAACAAAAGTGGTTGTCTCACAGTTCAGCCAACTGGTTGTTTCACAGATGCAGTTCCAAGCTGTCTTTGGTGGGAGTGGAGTGTATACGTATTAGCCACACATGACGGGGCTAGCCTCCACCTCTTGTCTTTTTTTTTTTTTGGTTTTTCGAGACAGGGTTTCTCTGTGTAGCTTTGCGCCTTTCCTGGGACTCACTTGGTAGCCCAGGCTGGCCTCGAACTCACAGAGATCCGCCTGGCTCTGCCTCCCGAGTGCTGGGATTAAAGGCGTGCGCCACCACCACCCGGCTTGTTTTTTTTTTTTTGTTCACCTCTTGTCTTATACATGAAGGATCCTGTCCAGAATATGTGATTCTCTTGACTCCTGGGCTTTTGCCATTCCATTGACTGTGCCTTTATCCTATCTGGGTGCTTCATGATAGGTGAATAAGAGACAGAAATAATCCTAAGGGATGCTGTGGATGAGCATGTATGTTGACTTTTTGACACTCTGGAAGGCAAGCTGTCCCATGAGCTATGTTTCACGAAGCTAATGAGAGAGGAAAGAGTTTTCCACTCTAATTAGGCAAATCAACTCTGAAAGTATTTATTAATAAAAACCAAGTCCTAACCATTATAAAAACAACTTATGTTTAGTAGGGACTATTTGAAATCTGTAGATAGACAATGAAGAGTTTAAGTTATTTGTAGTTTTTTTCCACTTGTATTTTGTTTCTTGTGGGGCACCAGCCCCCACACTTACTTACTCCAGAAACTCTTGAGGAATGAGGGATAAGAGATTTAGTTAGAAATGGTGGTGAGGAGGGAAACTGAGAGAAAACGCAGGATAGAGAAAACGGGTGGACCTGGATCCTTATCCACCGGCCCAGAACTTTATTCCAAAGGTCTATTTATAACAATGCTAAGGGGTGGAGCAAAAGACCTCCCCCTTGCTAGTTAGACCCTTACAAACACCTGGTACCCAGGCCCGTGGTCCAATCAACCTCCCATGCAGTCCTGCTGGGAACAGCCACTAGGAAATCTAGTGGGCTCCAACAGTTTCTTATGTTAATTTTCAAGTTTTGTGATTGTATTATATATATATGGTCTATTTTACATATGAAAGTTAATAAAAACTTTTAAAACGTATTAAGCATTGCAGATTATTTACAGACTATTTAGAAAATACTGAGGGACTACAGAAAACTCAGAATCCCCTGGAGGACATTATTTGGTTTGATTGAATTTACTCACAGTTACTTTGCTGTTGGGCAACCTTGCTTTTTAATTGTTTTGTAAAACTGAATGACATTAATGCTTTCAATATTTAAAATAACCACATTACGTTATAAAAATATTGGTTTTGTTTTTCTAGGTGTCTGGGCCACTAAACCAATTTTAAAAGGGAAAAAGTTTGGTCCGTTTGTTGGTGATAAGAAGAAAAGATCTCAGGTTAGGAATAACGTATACATGTGGGAGGTAAGAGAGTTTCAAATCTTTCAAAGAAACCACTACCTAGTCTCATGATTTGACATTTTGAAGTTAAAACAAATACTTTAATATGTTCTTTAAAAATCAAATAGTTTTGTTAATGAGAATATTAATTTTTCTGGATGACTGTTGTTTGCATATGTGTGTGTAGTTTGAAGCTACTAGGATGTTCTTGATTGTAAATGTCATATCTATTTTTTTATTCCTTGCCCAGGGCATTTTACCTTGCACCTAAGACCTTGACTTCCTGTGTGGTAGCCTGTCATTTTACAAATGACACAGATAGACACCACAAAATACACTTCAAAGGCTGCCAAGAACAGTATTAGATTCCTTTCTGCATGTTAGAAAGTAGTTTCGTCCCTGAAATATTTTAAACATATATAGAATGTGACACATTTACATTGAAATTTTAATGATATATTTATTTTTATTTCATGTGCGTTGGTGTTTGCCTGCAAGTTTAAGGGTGTCAGATACCCTGGAAATGGAGCTACACACAGTTGTGAACTGCCATGTGGGTGCTAGGAATTGAACCCAGGTCCTCTGGAAGAGCAGCTGGTACTCTTAACTACTGAGCCATCTGTCCAGCCCTGAAGTTTTAATTTTGCAAAAGGTTTTCATTCTATTTCATATTTTTTCAACAGCCCTGGAGGACAAAGCAGGGCAGTGGCAGCCTTTTATAGAAGCTTCCAGAAAAGGAAGAACTGCCCTTGCTCTGCAGGCCCAGACCTGAGTGGGGCAGACGTAGTCAGAGCCATGTCTCCTAGGAACAATAGGACAGTTTTACATGTTCTCCCAGATTGCCTTGGCCAGGTCCTCCTTCTACACTAGCTTCCTGACTTACCTAACCTATGGGCTGTGAAGCATTCTGTTTAAAAAGTAGGCTGAAAATATTTCATTAGGATGCTTGTGACTACGTGTGTTGATGATGTTCTTGGGTTTTGCATGGGATTCTGCAGGTCAGTGCCTGGGGAAGCACCTCAGGGAATGACTCCTTTACAAGTTCCATTTTGAATGAGAAGGAATCACATCTGTTTCATACCTTTGACATATAAAAGCCTGACAGTAAAATGTGTGGGCACCCCCCACCCCAGAAGCTCAGGGCATAGAGTGGGAGCTCTTAAGACTGAAAGGTTATAGTTTGATCTGACAGTTTCATCATTTTGTGTTTGTTTCTTATGAGTCTGTTGTCTGTGGGAGTGTCTGACAGTGAACCCTGGGGGCTTTAGGAAACAAGGATTTGCCAAAAGAATCAGGACTGTTTGGAGGTGAAAGAGTTTTGTAATTGTAGAAGAACTGTCTGGTCACAGAAAGTCTTCATTACTGTAGTACTGTGTCATTAAAAATGTATGCCTGTGCAAATATTGCTTTCAAATAAAGCACATTCTTAATTTAACAAGTTTTTCAAAAGAAGCTAACAGGCATGCTTGACCTTGTTAGCATTAATCATAGTGAGGCCTATCAGGGAGTCACATGCTTACTCAACATTCTGTATGTACAGTGCCGAGTAGAATAAACACCATTACTGCTAAAGTGAAGTCAGTGGTACCTTCTACCCAGTGTATCAGTTTGATGTTGGACATGGCTCTATAAACCACCACTCATGTCTTATGGGAGTTATCATGTACATTGAAATTCACACCTAGTAGGGCTTGAGAGTCACTTGCTGGTTATGATTTGCAACCATGAGATACTAGGGACCCATTTTCCTCTACACATGCAACATCCTAGTGCTAATAGTTTAAGATTCTTTACATACACATGCTTCAGTTTGTAACTCATGAAAGCACCACTTCTTTTTAGTCAGGTTCGAGTTTATCATTTTGTTCTTGTGAAGATTGACTTTTCCTTGTAAGAAAGAAAAGTTTAGGCTCAGATTGCTGTTAATAAACAGATTTTTTGGAGTTAACTGAATAAGAATTATGCTAATAATCCTTTAAAAGTAGGTTATTTTACTTTACTTGTATTGCTTTGAAACAGAGCCTTGCTTGCAGGTTAGCCTCAAACCCAGTTCCTCCTGCATTAACCTCCTGAGTGCTGGTAAGACAGGCATGGACCACTATTCCCAGTGTTAGGTTCAGAAAGGAATTGATTGGAAAGTGGCAATAGTTTCTGTCTTAATTTGTTTTGTGCTGCTCTGATAAAGTTCTGCAGCCAGGATAGAGTACAAAAACTTACTGTGAAGGCCAAGAAGGCCATCGAAGAGCCATACATATCTGGTGAGGGGATTCTTGATCTAGTATAACATGCTGGAAAGCATTACAGATCAAGACAGAGCCAGAGATGGAAGCTGTGGCCTCAAACCCTTTTAGGACCTGTATTCATCCTTTCACAGAGCCAGAGCTGCCACAGTCTGGACATCCCATTAAGCCCCGTGTCGCTATACAGTACGTGCATTTGGGAGCCATCCCTACTCCGACTAAAGAACCCTACCCTGCATACCCACAGATTTTCCAACCACCAACATTTCCCTTAGAGTGAGACATTTGTTATTATTACTAAACCTGCATCCAAGGGCTGTTATCACCTAACAATCATAGTTTGTGTTAGCTTATTCTTGGTATATATTCTAATAAGTATTTAAAAAATGTTTTATTCTGAAATGGTCTGTATAGCCTGACTGCCCTGAAACTTGCTAGATTAACCAGGCTGGATTTGAATGTATAGAGATCTTCCTGCTACTGCTCCTTCAGTGCCGGGATTAAAGACATGTGTCACCCAACTCAGCATATAACTTTTAAAATTTTAAACAAGGCCAACAAGATGCGTCATTGGGTGAAGTTGCTGCCACCAAGCCCAATGACGTGAATTCCATCACTGAACTCACATGGTGGCAGGAGAAAACTGACTTCTTAAATTGTCCTCTGACTTTACATGCATACACACACAAATAAATGTAATTAAAACAAAACAACAACAAAAAACTATACATTTACCACAAACTATAATAGCATGGACAGTACAGAAAAAGCTTACCAAAAATTAAAATTCACTTAAACTCCCAGCACCCAGGCATCTCTATGAACACTTTCAACTACATTTAAAATTTACTAAATTTATAAGGAATTATTTTGGTCATAGTCTCATGTAGTGCAGGCTGTCTTTTCTCTGCCTAATGCCTCTGTTCTTGTCTCTCCCACTAGTGCCTGTTCCTGTACCTTGTATAGGAATGTAATATGCTTGTTTCCTACCAATGTACTAAGGACTTGTCTGCCAAGTACTTGGCGTATGCCATTTTTTCTGTGGCTGCTCATAATTCTGTTTGCATGCCATCCATGATTTACCTTCTTTTGGACATTTAAATAGTTGTAATCTTTTGCTGAGTATGTACAGTTCTTCAAAGTATAAACTCAATATACATGCAATATGCTGACTTGTCTGGTATTTTCCTTAAGATACATTCCTAGAAGTGTAAACGTTAAATCAAAAGTTATGTAAACTTCTGTAAGGTTTTGGTCAGTTTTGCCCCAAAGCCTTTAGAAAGATTGTAATGATTTGTATAACCAGCAAGAGTATGCTTTTTTTTCTAGTCCTTTGAAACCCAGTATTGTTATCTTTTTAACTGCCTTAAAAAAATCTGTTCTTTTAAGTGAGCAATCACCGCTTCTATTTGTGGTTTGATTATCTCGGCAATAAATTTGAGTCTAGAGGACAGAGGGGAGAAGTAGAAGAGCCTCTGCATAGTACAAAGATTTTCATAGAGTTGTTTTAATGAGTTAGCAGCATTGTGAGTAAAATAAATGTTAGTGTGTGAGTTTGATAGTGCTTGCTGTGTCCTTGTAATTGGATGTCATTTGAAGCAATGGCAGCCTGTTCCAGTGTCCTTTCTTGTAATTGGATGTCACTTGGAAGCTGCCAGCAGATTCTGCAGAGCCTGTTTTCAGAAAGGGCTAGTCATGTTCACTGCTGTTCTCTAGCTGTAGAATGCTGTTAGGGCAGCTGTAGGAAAGGTCTTTAGATCTAACCTACACTCTATATTTTAAAGCTCGAAGACTAAAAAGCATCTTTATAGTTTTAAACTTTGTGGCACATGAAGATGTTACGAAGTCGAAGTTTCGGTTCATGAGGAAAGTTTTATTGGTACACAACCACATTCATGTGTCTCCTGTCTGTGGAGTTGAACAGTGGCAACAGGCTGTAAGACCTGTAAGGCCAAAAATACTTTTAAAAAAAGTATGGATGTGCCGGGCGGTGGTAGGGCACGCCTTTAATCCCAGCACTGAGGGAGGCAGAGGCAGGCGGATCTCTGTGAGTTCGAGGCCAGCCTGGGCTACAGAGTGAGTTCCAGGAAAGGTGCAAAGCTACACAGAGAAACCTTGTCTTGAAAACAAAACAAAACAAAACAAAAAAACAAAACAAAAAACAAAAAAGTATGGGTGTCTTTGCACCATATGTGTGCAGTGTTTGCAGAGGCCAGAGAGGATGTCAGATCTTCTGAAAAAGGAGTTACAGACAGTTGTGAGCCACTATGTGGGTGTTAGGAATTGAACCTGGGTCCTCTAGAAGAGCAGTTGGTGTTCTTTATAGTGCCATCTTTCCTGCCCTCCCAAATACTTTCACTTTACTCTTTTATAGAAAGTTTCCTGTGTCTTGGCTATAGGGGGAGGAAGCCAGAGGAGTGTATGTGGAACTGTCTAGTGTTTCAAGTTTACTGTGAATGGGTTATAGCAGTGTGCAAAACTTGGTATTCCAACTGGAGAAATGGTTGTCGTAGTAACAGCAGAGCCAATCATCTGCTGTTTTAGGAGTTTCAAGATAGATGAGGGTATTGAAGTATGGAGGATTAAATCTTTTCAAACAGGTTACCTATTACGTAGATTAGCAGCTTGGTGTAGCCCCACCCTCCTTGGAAGTTCATTTAATGTCTCTTTGTCAAGCCTTTTCTGTGTGTTTTTCAGCACTGATCTTGGCATAGAAACATGTTCTATAAACTCCTGGCCTTATTGCATGAAGGTCATTGGTCTGGAGTACAAGACTCATGTAGA